GTGAAACCATGGGTCAAATATAGTAAAATTGCGTTTTTAGTTTTTCACTCTGACGTGAGTAACTTAAAAATGATTTAAAAAATTCAGAGAAATGTGCTTAGAGAAGAATTATGGGTATAAAATTAATGAGGAAATCCTGTAGAATTTGAACAGATTCAAGTTTCTGGTGCCGAAGCGCTGGTAAATATTGAAAATGTCATTTTAAAATTTTATCCTTGAAATTTCGCAATATTTATTTTTGAAAAAATTATATGTTAAGGGCTTATATAAACTCGATAACATCCTCGAGTTTCGTTCTTCTAACTTTTCAGCTTAAAAATTACCTATTCGTCCTTGTGCATACAAAAAATTTAAATTTTTTAAATTCTAAAGAAATTTCCTTTTGCATTTGTTACCCATATTTTTATTCTACATTGCGTTGAATTTTTTTTACAATTTTTGGAATTAATCATATCTTTGAAATTACAAAGCCCTTCAAAATAAGTCCTGCGGTCAGAGAGAAAAAATAAAAACGCCTCTTTAAATAAAAAAGTAGGTTTCAAACCCGTTTATTATTAGTTATTTCATGGTAGGAGAACTTCTCAAAGAATATAGAAGCAATTTTTTCGATTCAAGTTGTTGAAAAGTAATGAATATCTAAATCCCGGAACTAATCCCGGGATCCCAGGATTGTGACAATGCCATCCCGAAAATCCCGGGATCGGAAAAAGCCGAAAAATTAACATCCCTAGTAACTACTTCAGTGGTTTAATAGAATTAGATTATGTACAACGTAGCGTTACTGGGAGGGTCCCATCTAAAAAATTAGCCACGGGCCTCAGATTGTATAGTTACTACACTGCACGCAGAATTTAAAATAACTTAGACTGGTGCTTTATGAGGTATATCTTCCATACCTCTGATTGTTTAGATATGATTTTTTATATATGGAACTCCGCTATCTAAGTATGTATCAAGGTGTAGTTGACAACTCAGGTAGGCTCCTTTTAAGGTACTATTATGCCAAAAAATATAAACAAGCGATTCAAAATTCATAAAAAAAAGTTTTCCAATTTGAATATTTCGAAAAAATATCAAGATTTACGTGAGCTGGACCGATTTGAAATTACCTCCAAAAAATAAATTTCTTTAAGAAACTTTCTTTCTTGGTTTCTTTGAAACTTTCTTATGATTAAAAATAGTTGCATTAAAGTATTTTTCAAAAAGATCCCCTCAGATGACAAAACAGTTTAAGTAAAAAAAATTTGCATTCAAATATTAAAAATCAAAATCAACGGAGCCATAATAGTGAGATTTTTTATTCTGTTTTTGAACTTTTTTCAAAGAAAATTTGCCGGGTTTGACTTATGAGGTATAATTCGAAAGGTATTTTCTCACTAGAGGTGCAAAACTATCGATGGTTTTAAAAAACCATAGATAGTTACTTTACGTACTTTTTTTCTCGAAGACCTTTTTAAACAATTTGCTGGTTTCGGTGGACCCCCTGCTGATACATTTCTAAATATTCCCAAAGCTCGTAAAAAATGAAATGTGAAGATCAGATCTAACTATGTAAATTTGCATCGCGGGTGAATTTAAAACTTAATTTGGAGTGGACAAAATAAAACTAAAATATTTTCTTTCTTTTATTTTTTATTTCTATTTATTAAAATATTGTGAATACACACTCTCTCGCTCTCAGCAGTTATATTTTTTAAGAACACTTCGAGCCCTAGCGTTATTTATATTATCTTCACCACAAACTCATCAAATGTTTGGCCTACTCTTGACTTTGTAAGTGGAGTATTTGTGAAATAGTTTATTTATGTTGATGCTATCGTTTTTATTTTTATCGCTCCGAGTTTTGAAGTGAGGCGAAAAATATTTATCACTCACATTTTTAAAACACAAAACTTAAAACAACAAAACGACTAAACTTTTTACGCAAAACTTTTAATTCAGAATCTGACAATAGAGAAAAGAACGAGTCTAGAAAAATCGTTGACAAACAACCAAGCAAGCACAAAAAGTGTTTCACCGTCTCATCCTCTTCAAGGCAGGATGGGGCAAATGGACTTGTCATTTCCGCCTATCAGAGTCAGGTGTTTGTGCCACGTGAATTGACCAGTCAGCTAGGGTTGCCCATATTTACTAAGATATTTATAGTAGTACTAGCTTAAAACCGGGGGTTTCACCCCACGTTTTTAAACAAATATGAAAAATAATTTAATGATGTTATATTTTATTTCTGTGGCCATTTCGTTGTAGCTGTTTTTTTTAAGCGAGTTAAGGTTTTTAGGCCGTTTAAAACTATGAAATTATAAAATCTCGTCTGCGCGCTAGGCATACGAAAGATATCAATCCCTCTAAGTTTACCTTAAAATGGTTCCAGGGATACGACGCGTGAACGTGTAACCCTCCTAGAGGTGCCACGGCGGGTTCTAATATTTCCAACTCAAATTAAGTAACCTGGCCTTGATAAAATACCACTTCTCACTACTGTAGCAAATGCCTCGAGAGGTATGTATGCATCATGAGAGCTTTAGATTATAAGGCCGAACCTGGCTCTCCCTTTTCCATTAAATGAAATTTTTGTCTGTCAGTACGCCACTTATAAAATAAATCTCCATAACAAATTTAAAATACTTCCAAAGATTTTCTATCCTTCCAGAGATATGTATGTATTAAGAAATTTTTAGTATGTATGGTAGGCGACTTGCCTCCTTTTTTAATAACTCACATTTTTTGCATGAGCAATTGATACATTTTGTATACACAACTCCTTACCAAACTCCAGTATTCTTCCACAAACACTTCCAGGGATATGTGGCAATAAGAAGTCAATTTGTACCGGAAGTGCCACGCCCCTTTTTTTCTAACCCTAATCTTCTGCCATGAATTTAGAAATGATTTTACATACCCCAGTACCAAGTCCCAGTACTCTACCATGAAGACCTCTAGAGATATGCAGTATAAAACAGTAAATTTGTACGGGAGGTACCATGTCCCCTTTTCGAATAACGAAAATTTTTCCCCATGGGTATGGAATTAATTTTGTATACACATCTCGGTGCCAAGTTCCAGTCCTCTGCAATAAACACCTCCAGAGATATGCAGCACAGAAAAATTAATTTGCATGGGAGCTACCACACCACCTTTTCCAATAACTCTCATTTTTCTTCATGAGTATGGTACTAGTTTCACATCCATAAATACATATGTATTTTCATACCAAGCTTGAGTACTTTACCCCAGACATTTCAAGTGATGTGCAATAGGAAATTTTCAGTCAGTATGGGAGGTGCCTCTTTTCCAAAAACGTCCATTTTTATCCGTGAATATGAATATGATTTCACACAGTGTTGGCAAAATGTTAATCTGATTAACGATTAAAATATTAATCGCGTTTGACGATTAAAATTAATTAGTCGTTATCAATCGTGCGATTACTATTAATTAATTTTAATCATTAATCGTTAATCCAATTAAAAATAAAATCTAAAATCAGTTATAGTAATTATTTTGTGTTTTATGCTTATAAGAAGCACATAATATAAAAAAATTATAATTATTGTTATTAGTAATACATCAACTGGGAACTTTTACAAACTTAGTTTGTAAAACGTTTGTTGGTATAGATTTGAAAATGCACACCAAATTGCTCAGATTGATGAGGAAACCCGACTTAGCCATACCGGATTAACTTACTTTGTGTGCATAGGAAAATTCCTGGATAAATTATTAATTACCAAACCTACATGATGAAATTGGAGGATGGTTCCGTGCGCAGAAGTGGAAAACTTTTGACTGC